CGGTGGCCGCCCGAACCACTGGTTGGAACGACGTGCATCAAGTATAAGTCGCTGCCGCTCGCGCCCATCCATCCACGCGCAGAAGACGCCCGCGCCCTCGAGCGGGCCCAGCGGAAATCGATAGGGGGCCCCGCGACATCAGGTCCTGCATAAAAAAGCACGCGCAAACGGTCTTGCGGTTCACCGAGGCAAGGTCGCAGTAGCGCTGCGCGCCGTCGCGCGCGAGGTCCGATTGAGCCTCGCCGACGGGCACGCGCATGCGCTCGCCCTCCCGCTCCAAGAAGTAGCGGCCCCTTCTGCCGCAGACGTCGCCGATGTATAGGGAGATCCCTCGACCGACCCGGGCAGCGACAGCCGGCCTGGTTGGAAGGGCGCAAGCGAGTCGTTGGCCGCCCCCGCGCCGCGCAGGGAACGGCCGCGCAGCAACTCTCGAGCGGCCACTTGCGCGGGCGGGGCGTCGAGGCCGCGGCGCGCGCCCTGCTCGCCCTGGGCCAGCTCGCGCACGTGCTGCGTCGCGTCCTGCTGCGCATCGTCGCGCTCCTGCTGGGCCCCATGCTCAAGCTCGAAGCCACGTGTCCAATTCAGCGCCTGCTGGGCGCTATCAACAAGCTCGCTCTCTCGTCGGCGAAGTCGCCATTTCGCCGGCCGCCTGTCGCCTCGCCCTCCAGGTCGCAGAGGCGCCGCCTCTCGTGGCAATGGGAACAGGTCTCTGGCCCCCGAAGACGGCGCGGCGCGGCCCGCTCCCACTCGTAGGCGACGCGGGCTGGGAGTTTGCGCCCGGGCCTCCTGGCTCATCATTGCTTAGCGGCAGAACCGCGGCCGCGACTGCGACTGCGGCCGCGTCCTGCGCCGCTTTCTGCCCCGTCAACGTCGTCGCCGTTCCCGTCCTCCTCCTCGCCCGCCGAGCCTCGTAGGCCTCGCGTCCGAGCCGTGTTCAGCTCGTTCTCGTCCTTCGCCTTCTTCATGCCCCGCTGTCGCGCGGCTGGCCACGCGCTGTCGAACGCGCCGCCGACGCCCTCGCAATGGCGAGCCATCCGCCATGAGGGTCCACCATTGCCACTGTGAGCGTCCACGATGGAGGATATACGTCGGCCGATGCGTTCGAAACACTGCAGAGCTGGCATGTTCAGCTGATCGAACGTGCCACCGATGTGGACGACATCCACCAAAGTGTGCAGTTCGTGGTACACGTGGTCGCTTTTCTCGATCCGTCGATCGCGGCAGAAGTCGGTCCTCTCTGTCTTCTCCCTGCCCCTTCTCCTGCGGCTCGCGACCCATTTCGCAATCTTCCCGGTGTAGATGACTAACCATCGCAGAATCCCTTGGAATCCAACGCGGCAGGATGTTTCCAGGGGTCGTGTTGCCAGTGGGTTGTGTTGGACGGTCGGCAAGGTCCTCCCAGTCTCTTTCCTGCTCCTCCTCCTCCTCCTGTGATTCGCGGCTACGTTCACACTCTTCCCGGTGGAAGCGACTGACCGTCGCAGAGCCTGTTGGAATCCGAAGCGGCTGGGTGTGCCCAGAGGTCGTGTTGCCAGTGGGTTGTGTTGAACGGTCGGCAAGGTCCTCTCTGTCTTCTCCCTGCCTCTTCTCCTGTGCCTTGCGACCCATTTCGCAATCTTCCCAGTGTAGGTGAACGACCATCGCAGAGTTTGTTGGAATCCGAAGCCGATGGGTGTTCCCAAGGGTCGTGTTGCCAGCGGGTTGTGTTGGACGGTCGGCACAAACCTCTCTGTATTCTCCCTGCCCCTCACCCTGCGACTCGCGACTATCATCACATTCTTCCCGGTGGCGGCGACTGACCGTCGCAGAGTCCGTTGGAATCCGAGGCGTGTGCCAAGAGGTCGCGTTGCCAGTGGGTTGTGTTGGACGGTCGGCAAGGTCCTCCCAGTCTTCATTCCTGCTCCTCCGCCTCCTGTGATTCGCGACTATCTTCGCGTTCTTCCCGGTGGAGGCGACCCATTTCGCAATTTCCCCGGCGTGGGCGACTAACCGTCGCATCTCGAGGAATCATCGGCAGGGAGGGAGGAGAAGGCAGAATGGGAGGGAGGGAAGCGCACGCCAGGCACACGGTGTGAGAGAAGGGGGAAGAGCTTACCAGAACCCTGTGTACACTGACGCGCACGCCAGGCGTTCTCATTCTGGTAGGGTGCTGACAGCACGCAGACGCCGTCGGAACGACCAGTATCGGCGCCCACGAGATCCCGACCATCTCGCAAGGGGGCCAGGCGTCCCCTGTTCGCGCCGACGTGGTGTCCCAGGTGTTGTCCACGCAGTTGCACCCAGTCGGCGCCCGCGGCGCCCACGGCGCCCGCGGCGCCAACAGCGTTGGCGGCGCAGGCGGCGCCCGCGGCGCCCGCGACGCCGCGACGCACGCTGCGCCCGCAGCGCCCGCGGCGCCCACGGCGCACGCGGTGCTCGTGGCGCGGGCGCCCGACGCACCCGCAGCGCCCGCGGGCCCACAGCGCCTGCGGCGCCCGCGGCGCAGGCTGCGCCAACAGCGCCCGTGGCCCCGCGGCGCCGGCGGCGCCGGTGGCGCCCGCGGCGCACGCTGCGCCCGCGCGCCCGCAGCGCCCGCGGCGCCCGCGGCGCCCATGGCGCCTGCGGCCTGGCGGCGCAGGCGGCGCTGGCGGCGCTAGCAGCGCGCGCTGCCGCGGCGCCGCGGCGCCGGCGGCCCGCCGCACCCGCAGCGCCCGCGGCGCCCACGGCGCCCGCAGCGCCCGTGGCGCGCGCGACGCGCGCGGCGCCCGAGGCACCCGCAGCGCCCGCGGCGCCCACGGCGCCTGCGGCCCCGCCGCACCCGCGGCGCCGGCGGCGCTGGCGGCGCCCGCGGCGCCGGCGGCGCTGGCGGCGCCCACGGCGCACGCTGCACCCGTGGCGCCCGCGGCGCCCGCGGTGCCCGCGGCGCCCATGGCGCCCGTGGCGCCAGCAGCACTTGCGGCGCCGGCGGCGGAGGCGGCTGCTCACGCCGCAGCCGCCGCCGCGACACGGGCCTCCATCCCACGGGCCGGGGCGCGCACATGAGACAGGGGCGGGCTCGAGCCGAGACGCCTTGAGCCAGAGGCTACGGACGCTGGTGGGGTTACTTTTTTAGTCAGCGGCCGCAGGCGAACGCGCCAGCGGCGAGTCCAGTCAGAGCGGGGCGCGCAAAGACGAATTAGGCAAGGGAAGCGCGGGAAGAACAAACAGAGCGAGGGGCGAGGCGACAACTAAGCGCGGCCGAGGCCTCAGATGGGGGGCTGCCGGGACTGAGCTGAGGGAACTGCCAGCGTGCACAGCCGAAGTCAGTCGGAGGCACTGGTGGGGTTCCTTTTTTTTACAGCCGCAGGCGGAAGCGCCAGCGGTGGGCGGTCGCGGGCGGGCTGCGGCCGCGACTAGCGGCGGGCGCGCGCGCGAGGCCGCGGTCAAGCGGCAAGCAGCAGCGTCCTAACTGGTGGGGTTACGCGAAGCGTCCAGAACTTCAAAGCGAATCCATCGGTGGCGTCGAGAGCCTTCCAGGAGGCCCAAAAAGGCGAAACCGGCAAGGGCAGCGGTATCGGTATCTTTTCTCTTTTGACCCCCTGCTGTGCCAGCGTCCCGTTCGAAACACCTCTAATCTCCAGCCCGGCCCGAGGAGGCGTCGTGGACGTCCACAGCGACCGGTGGAGGTGGCCCGCTGGTGATGGTGTCGCGTCGACTCCCTCCGAGCCCAGCCTCCTCCCTTCTCACACAGGTGACCCTCTACGGGGTGAACCCAAGATCGCGAATCTGTGTTAAGACGAAGCCAGGACGAGGATAAAACCGAGCGAGCACAAGCGAGAATCTCTGAAATCTGGCGGTTCTGGGGGATGCCTTGAGGCCACGGCATTCTCAGAGCGTTCCTGAACGCTCTCAGAACGTTCTGGAAGGCTCTGGAACGGATTTATCCTCGTCGTCGCCCCGTCCGCCCTACTGCGCTAAACTCAAGGGCGCAAATCGATATCCCACAATTGAAAAACATGTATGTCATTTTGGGGCAAACCTGGCCCCGCGCCAATCGTTCTCTCCCCCCCTCGCACCTCCCCCCCCTGCCCCACCCCGTCCCCGCTCGTCCCCCTCACCTCGCTCCTCCTCTGGCGTGCGGCAACCTTCCAGGAAATCTGCCGACATGGTGTTGTTCAACCCGCGGCCCAAAAGCGCCCGACCCCCTCCCTGAAGGTAGTTTTGCGCCTCGCATCCATTTCGGGTGGTCCCGCGGCCAGATGACGGCCCCCGTGAGGCCGAGATCGGGTCAAAACGTCCAAATTGAAACCGTCGTCGGAGATCTGGTTTCTGGTCGAAGCTCGGGCCTCTGGCGGCCGACAGGGGAGATCCGAGCACCCCCTGACCACTATCGGCGAAGCGCAGCCGCTGGAGAGCACCCCGAGGCTGGAACACCGCCGATCGCGGACGAAAACGTCCGAACACCGCTGGCCTCGAATCTCGAGCACCTTTCCCGCGCGCCCAGCAAGACAGAATACCGTCGAAGATCTGGGTCTCTCGCCGCGCTCCCGTCGGGGATTTGCTGACCTGGTGACATACATCCTGCAGGATCCTGCGTGCTGCCCAGGGTCAATGCAGCCCTGGCTTTTGCAGGACCCTCGATTGGAAAATCGACGAAAGGGACAAACTTCTCGCCGCGGATCGCGTGTCGACAGGTCCCCGGCTGGGAAACCCAGGAGAAACGTTCTTCTTGTGACGCCGAAAGTGGCGATAATGCCCGTGCTTTCAGCCAGTGCCAGCGGGGATCACCACTCAACGTAGGTGGCGCAGCACCGTGTCCTCGTGAACGAGAGCCGAGGTGGAGGGAGAATCGACAATCGGGCAGGTTTTGGGACGTGTTTGGGGCGTCTCTGGGAGTTCTGGCGGCAAGCTCCAGCGCTCTGGCATACCCCCCCCGCTTGCACTGACCCCCGTCTCAAGGCTCCCCATCCCCCCGTCGGCCCGCCGCTCCGGGCGGCCGGTGCCAGTGGCCCTGGCCGCCGCGCCCCCCGCGGACGCCGCGCCTCGCTCTCGCTGCGCACCCTCTCGTCCTCGCCGACCTTGTCCAACTCCTTGGTCCATGGGACACACACCACCACCAGCAAATCTATCACCCTTTCAGCCCTTCAATGTTTCAACCCGCGAAGGCAGAAGCCATCCCCCCTACAGTGTGTCAAGGCTCCAGATCTTGCAATCCCTGCCCAAGCCCCCCACTGCGAACAGCAGACGTCGGGAGGACGGGTAGGAGGCGGGGGGCAAGGGAGGGAGCGAGCGAGCGAGCGACCTGTGTGAAGCAGCCTCTGGGCCTCTGGGTCCATGCGAGGCTAGGCGGGCGAGGCCGTGGCCTCCATTCTTTCACCCAAAAACATGTGTGTGTGTGCTGCGAGGCAAAACATGCATGGGATATCGGGAATGAGGAGTCTTTGCAGCGGGCGTCCTCGTGCGTGGGTCGTGCCGTACAGTAGTGTTCGATCGCTAGTGCATTGAGTTCTGCTTCGGCTGTGGGCGCAGTCTTTCTAAACAGGTGGGAGGAAGCAAAGGAGGGGGGCTACGTGCGGCGCGGGTTCGGCCTCGACCTGCAATCTCCACACTGCCTCCCGGCCACTGTCGCCGCCGTGTGGCCGAGGACGAAGAGGAGAGGAGAAGGAGTAGGAGGAGAGGGAAAGACGACGGCTCGCACGCCCGAGACGGGTAAGGGAAATATTGGCACATTGACCAACTGCATCTGTAGCCCAAGACCAATAGCGGCCGCTGTTGGGCACGCATTTGTCTTGTCCCAAATGGACAAGGCAACGTCCGCGGCGACAACGACGGCGAGCCCTGCTCACAAGGGACAGGAACTGCCGTCTATGCTCGCCCTCAGTTTTGCTCCGTGCCCATTTCGTAAAGGGGAGCGGTGGGGAGGGGGGGCAGCAGGAGGAGGAGGAGGAGGAGGCGGAGGAGGAGGATGATGATGAGGAGCAGGGGGCGGGATCCAGGGAGGGGGAACAGCGAGCTGGAATCGGCGACACGTCGCTGATGGATCGGCGGCAGGCCTCCCACAGCAGAGCCGCACGATCCTAGGCGGCGTGGGCAGTCGAACCCCTTATCGGCGACGAGCGGGCGATTGGGGGTGTCGATGCGTACAGTCGGGCCGCTGTCGCTAGGTCAAACTTCGATTTCCCATCGAAAACCTAAGGAACACCGAAGGCCAACTGTGAAACAAGGAACACTGAGCCCCTCCCAAACGAAAAGGGCTCCCTGTGCAGCCCTCCCCGGCTGTAACCTCCTGGACCTATCCCCTATCTACCCCCCCGTGTCGGCGCTTAGCTCGGGCGTCAGGCGGCCGTTCAGAACGATGCGGGCACCCCTGGAACACTCCTGGCGAGGCGCAGCCGCTGGAGGGCATATCTCGGGGATGGAAAGCCGTCGAGGATCGACAAAGGAGCCCACAAACCTCGAACCTTGAAAACCCATCTACGAATAAATTTCGGTCGCTAGCTCGGGCATCGGGAGGCCGTTTATCATGATGCAGGTGCCCCTAGAACGCTCTCGGCGAGGCGCAGCAGCTGGAGAGCATCCCGAGGCTGGAAAACAGACAAGACCGCCAGAAAACCTGGAGCCTCGAAACCGACGAGAACAGCTGTTTTTCCAGCAGCGCTGGCGGACGAAAGCGCGCTACGGCATGCAAGTGAGGGGTGGAAAAGGTCGATGATCCTAACAACGTGTGCTAGCGCAAACGTGTGTTTACCCACCGAGGCCCTCCCGTACGACGCTGGCGATGTAATGATCTGAGGGTGCGGCTGAACGGGGCAAACACACATTGGACTAAGACACGTCCTGAGGATCATCGAGAAGAAGAGGGCGGCCGCGGAGGCAGAAGGGGGTGGGAGGCCTAGAACGCCGACGACAACAGACGAAACGCTCGAAACTCCCCCCTGGCGCGCGGGGACTGCGCGCCGCCCCCCTCCCCCCCCCTCCGCGGCGACGCGTCACTCCTCGAGCTCGAACAGGAGCTGCTGCCTGTTACGCTGCAGGTTATCCTGCGGGACGTGGCCCCTCCGCCCGCCGCCCGGCTGTCGCCGCGGAGGCCCAAGGGGGCCGAGCCTTCCGGCCCCCAGAGTCGGGCGGTGACGGGCAAACATGGGGACTTTGACATCCCAAGAGACCTCACCGCGCGTTCCGTCACAGCACGGTCTGGGACAGAGTGCGGTGCCGGAAACACTGCGGCAATGCCAGGGCCGCACTGGGTGGGGTGGGCGTTACGTTATGGGGGGGGAGGGGGGGTTATAGGGGGGAAGGGGGGGGGAGGGGGAGGATCCAGGATCGGGGATCAATGGGTGGCAGGCCACAGTAGCCCCAGGCAGCCACCCAGAAGCCCCCAGCATGCCCAATCCTTCAGACACGTGCAAGCTTTCCAATGGCTTGGGTTTCCAGACCTCTGTGCTTTCCGCTGGCCTATCGGGCCTCACGTTGGCTTCAATATGGCCCAAGATGATTCCAAGTTTTTGGGCTGGAACGGCTCCACGAAGGCTCTGAAGACTCATGAGAGCACCCCAGGAGAGACCCCAGAAAACTTTCATCGTGCCCCAGAGCGCAGAAAACTCGGGATCCATGGGTGGCAGGCCCCAAGATGGCTCCACGACAGACCCCAAGGTGGCCCACGATCGTCAACACAGCCTATCGTCAATCCCAAACATCCGACGATCTGCTTTCTGCAATCCACGGCCCCAGAGGTCCCGACCACTTCCCATGGGGCATCTGTGTCAAGGGATCCACCAGCCCTCTGGGCGTAGGTGGTCTAGTCAGGTTCCTCTTCCAACCCCCTTCTTTCCCTTAAGGGAAGGGTTCTCCCCTCCTCCTGCCCCCACTCCTGGACCTGGACCGGGGGGACGGCGAGGCGTTGGATCGTCCAAGACCCCTGAATCCCAGATGGGCTCCAAGATCAAGATGGCTCCCAAGATGCTCCAAGAGGCCCCAAAAACGTTCCAAGACGGCTCCAAGAGGCCTCCGAAACCGCCAAGGAGGCTTCCAAGAAGCCAAAATCCTTCAAACACCGAAAGCAAATCAATGAAAGGTGCATGCTCACCTTGGAGGGCTCCAAGACGGCCGCAAGAGCGCCCAAGAGCGCTCAAAGAAGGGTCCAAACAAGCGATTTCCGGTGCTCCCGAGGGGGGGAGACTAATTGGAGCTCCCCTCTATTTTGATCGATGTCCTGCAAGAGGACCCCAAGAGCGCCCCTGCAGCTCCCAAGAGCGCCCCAAGATGGCCCCAAGAGGCGCCCAGCAGGCCCCAAGCCCAAAGGCCCCCAAGAGACCTCGCACGAGGCCTCAAGAGAATCCCTTACCCAACTCTCCCTCCTCCTCCTCCTTCTCCTCCTTCTTGTCCTCCTCGTCCTCGCCCTACTCCACCTCCTCCTCCTCCTCCTCTTCCTCCTCCTCCTCCACCGACTCCTCCTCCTCCTCCTCCTCCTCCTCCTCCTCCTCCTCCTCCTCCTCCTCCTCCTCCATCCTCCCCCTCTTGGTATATACGACGGCTTCCCGCGCCTTTTGTCTTTCTGCATGCTCCCCCACTTCCCTGATCACCTCAACTCCCCTGGGCATCGTTTCTGGATGGGCCGGTGGGGATACGCGAGCAATCAGCAATTTCATGGGCGCTCTCGCGCGTTCCTGGGCTGCCTCGCATGACGGTGGGCCCCAAGACGGGCCAAGAGACGAGTGCGGCAGCAGCCAGCGGCGGCACGACGAGGGACGAAGCAGGAGGCGACGGAAAAAGGACGGAGCAGGGCCCACCGCTGGCCAGGACTGGACAACAATAACAAACCAAACTAATAGATCAGTCAATTCCGGCACCTCGGCTGACAGCGCGAATTGTCTTACTCCGTCTAGCCCCGTCCCTCAACTTAGCTTTGACCAGGGAGTGGGCGTCGGCGGGGGCAATGCACGCAGAGGGAAGAGCCCGACAAACCTGGAAACAAGTATGCATTAAATCTACTCGCGAGAGAACACAGAAAAAAATGTGGCAAGATAGGGTTCAGAAGTTCGCGCCACGACTCATTGGGAAGCCATGGCAGTACTCCACGGATACATTCAGCGAGTACTGGGCAGGTCGAGTAATGCACCAATTCGTCTCCACACATCGCTTAACAACTGATACAACATACCTGGACAGACTGCCTGTACATCCTGGTAGTATTCCACCCGTTAAAAGAATGCGTTTAAAGGAAAGCCGTGAAGACAAATCCAGGGGGACGGGGCCCAGCAACATTTATCCGAACGTACGTGAGGAGAACATCGGCCCGAAACACTCCAGGAATCCATTTGGCCAACCGGGTGGACATTATATCCTGGGAAGTGGGGGCGCGAATCTGGCGATCAGAATTCACGAGTTTCATCGCCCTGGCCTGCGCCCTCCTCTTCGGACACTCAGGAAGCGAATGGATGTGGGAGAAGGCGTCATGCACCTGCCGCATCCTGAAGAAGAGTGATTTATCAGCTAAGGCAGAAAACTTCCACGTGCTATGACTTCGTCAGATGTGGCCAAATCCAGCAGAATATTCTTCAACCCATGGAATTTGGGCAAGTTGATGGCAGCGCGTAAAAAAAGGCAAGCACGCGAGCGCACCTCCAGTCTCAACGCCTCAACCCTATGGCCGAGATCGCGGAGTTGGCGGAGGGCCCCGGGAGGGAACGAAAGACGCGGCGAACGCGTAAGCCTCTGGAGCGCATTGTCTCGCCACCTTCACGAACTTGGGAGGTTCCCGCACCTGTGCTACATGGCTGACCACGGGCAGCGCGCGCACGTCGTAGGCTGTGATACTGAACGAGAGCCCCCCCCCCCACACGCACACACACACACACACACGCACGCACACACGCGCACACAAACGCAGCTGTTTCATCTACAGTGCGCGACGACCTAGAGCGTTGACAACCGTCTTCCAGGACTCCCCCCGCGCACCAACACCCAAGAACACCCCGAAGCATTTTCCATTGCGCGATATCTTGGATGTCCAAATATTCATTCCAATGCCTTGGAGATCTTGCATTACCGTTTCACGGAATCGCTGGCCCGGGATGATCAGGACACACTTGGTTAAGGTCAACGCGAGCCCCGTCGCATATGCAGTAGATGCTAGAACTCGAAAATGATAAGTAGGGCCTGAAGCTCACCCTTGCACGCGATACCAATATCGCCGGCGAAGGCACAGAGAGAAATAGGCAGCCCCGAGCAGACGCGACGAACCCGAGCGATTATAGGGTTGATACATATACAACAGACAAGTCCAGAAATCGGACACCCTTGCTCAACGCCCCGCGAGACCTGAATAAACACTGGCTCGCGCCCATGGAAGCCGATGCCCATTCCCGCGTTGGACTGCAGGGCTCGAGCTGCTCGCCGCGCGTGCCTGGGCAGGTTCAACTGCTTGAGCACCGCCCAGATACTTGTGCAGGACACGGAGAAATGTGCTTTTTCAAATCAAAAGGCGCAGTTCCGAAACCGTGGCAAGTACACATAATTGCCCGCCTGAGAGACGCGGCGCCGAGGGGGAACACATTGTCCAGAAGCTGGCGATCTTTGACAAAACCTTTCTGACAATCCTCCGCCGTGTCCTCCGCAATCTCGTTAACCTCGAAGCCTGCGCAGCTGGTGATAATCTTATTGTCTGAGTTGCTCACAGAAAGTGGCCGAGCACAGGCAGGTGTTCTGTCGCGATTATCTGCTCCGCCAGGGCAGTCCTTTGGGAGAAAGACGCCACGTGCATCGTTAATGTCTGGCGGCAGCTGTCCTACCTGCATCAGCCTGAGGCACATCCGGCATGCTAAATCTTGACCAACTTCTCCAGCATTCTCCCCGGCAGCACGCGGGGCCCCGTCAGGACCAGGGGTAATATCTCTTTCCCCAATTCAGTATATCCAGGAAAGCACTCTCAGGAACCACCCACGGATAAAGAGATTTGTCGCGTGTGCACTAATGAAACTCATGAGTATGAATAGGTGCAATCTCAGAGCATATATCAGCTATACCTTCATCAAGTGCAACCACGCCCTGCGCCCCCCCCCAAAAAAAAAACGGCCCAATGCTTAGCGAGAAGTACCGCGCGCGCGCGCGGCCGTCAGCGCAATGCTGGCCGTCTGTGTCTGCAATATGCTGAAGGCTGATCTTGCGGCCGCTCGACCGCCAAGCGAGCGAAAGATCTCGATTTCGCTGGGTGGCAACCGCAGACCTAGCATCAGCTACGTCTGCTTAGGCCCACTCAACAGACCGCGTCAGCTCGGCCCTCGCTCGGCACATATATATATATATAGATATATCAACAAACTTGCCAAAGGAAAATCGAAACCACCCCGTATCGCTCCAACGCGCAGCTCCAAATCAAAAGCCTTGCCCAGGAAGGGGCGTCCACGGGCCGCCCTCTTAGCGTTGAAAAACCGACCACCCCGAACAGAGCGCTCCAGTTTTACGTGGCAAGAGACATATTCCTCCAGCGATTCGGCGCCATCGCGTCCTATATGACCCTTGGCGCGACCGGCAGCGCAATATACAATCCTTGATGCCCTGAAGCTGCTCGTCCAGGGACTGGCCTAACTTTTCCGGCGCAGTGAGATCCTGCACGTCTTCTTGAAACACTCGGTGGCGGGCAACCCAGGCAGCGGCGCTGGCGGGCCCTCTGGGGGTCCAAGGAAGGATCCAGCTTCAGGAACGCAGGAGCGTGATCGGAAGGCCCCGAAATATCAGGGGCAGGCCAAACGACACCAGCGCCAGGGCAGAGGTCGAGGATCTCCTGGGTGGGGAGAGAGCAATGCGCTCGATCAAGACGCCCAGAGGACCGCATCTCATCCCCCTGGAGCCCGCGGGCGTCGCCCCCGTGCAACGCCTCCGCGAGGTGCGGGGGGGGGCGCGCAGGCAGGGCCTGGAATTTACGAAGCAGAGAGCGCATGACTCAGTTCGAGTCGGAAGCAAGCTTGCTTGATTCGAATGCGCGGAGCCCGGGACAGTCTGAATATTCTAACTGCATGTGCCAAGCGGACGATCAGGGATGCACGGGGCGACGCAATTCCAATAGGAACAATGAGATTGGGCAGGGATGCCAGAGCACAAGCGCGAGTCGACGGGCATGCGCGCGCCAGGGCCCTCGACGGCCTCTGTGCACGAGCTCGCATCACTCTGGCGATGCGCCGGGCTCTCCCTCTGCAAGGGGCCACATGCGGGCATGCATCTGCCGCTCGAGCGCGCATCTTTCAAAGGGCGCTCGCTCGCCCGCAGCGGCTGAGGCAAAGGACTGACAGGCGCCTGCTCCCCAGCGTCGCTCAAGCGATCCCTACAGGTACTGGCCGATTCGCTCGGCATGGTGGGCAGAGTTGAAGATCCGCTGAAACTGGTCGGCCGAGATGCACCGCAGGTTGAGTTCCTCCTGGACGACCTGGAACTCCTCTGTGCCCTTGGAGCGCTTGGCTCGTTTGACAATGATGAACACATCCCCTGGCGTTGCCGCCGCCATCTCCCCCTTGCATCCGTTGGCGCCGAGCTTGCGCTCAGATGTCCAGGACTGGCGCTGCTTGAGAAGGTCGAGGATGGGCTGGTCGATGCGACTGATGGACCGCTGCCGATCGCGAACGTCGATCGGAAGGTCTTGGCATACATGGAGCTGGTGGCTGGCACCATTTCGTGGATCCACCCGCTGGAGCACGGCCGACGACACGTTCTCACTGAACTGCTTGGCACAGGCTAGGGATGCGAAGACGATCTGATAGTTTTGTGCCACGGCGTGTACGACGACTTCTGCGCCGCCTTGAAGAAGGTGTGGGCGCGCCGCAAGAACTTGATTGAAAGGTGCTTGCCGAACAGACTTGTGAACAAGGCGAGGAAAGGTGCCAACAGAACATACCAGACGTACCAGTGGATTCGCACCCACCTGTTGCCCACGCCCACGATCTTGAATTTGCGCTGGTGTCCGAGACCCGCTGGGCACCGAAGCACCTGAATATGATAAAGCCGCCAGCGAAGCTGTCTGTGCGACTTGTTGAAGTTGGGCTCCGAGCTGCTCGATCTGGGTTCTGTGACTCCGTAAATCCTCCGCGGTGTGCTGAACCCGCGTGTCGAGCTGGATGAGCGCCGCCTGGTGCGAGGTGATTTGCAACTGCAGTTGGGCGGTCGACGCGTCAATTGAGGCCGTGATGCTCGACCCGGTAGAACCCATCGTCGCACGTAACTCATTCATGAGATTGGACGAAATTGGAGCTTGACTTCCCTGACAAGAGCCATGCACACTCACGTGACCCCCCTGGCGACTGGAACTGCGACGGCTGCGACTCGGTGAGGGAGACATCCTCCCCCTTCCACGTGATGGCGACGCTCTCTGAGATGCACACTGCCTGACGAACTGTCACGGTGGTGACGATCGCGATCTCCTCGGTCGCGACGCGACTCCTCCTTCATTTGCTTCCGAACAACTTCGCGACCCATGGCTGCAACTGGTGGCTGGCAAAATGCGAGCGAGCAGTTGTGGAAGGTGTCCGAGAAAACATTACCTCCACCCTGGGCAGGGCCTCTGATCGGAGGAACCAATGAGGTCAACCTGGACCAACCTCGAGAGATGTTTTACTTGAGCCAAAATGGCTTGAACCAAAATGGCTACGGACGCCCGCCTCTCAGTAGGAGGAAAACAGGGAGGAGCAGAGAAGGTGGAGAACGTGCAGGAAGGAGACAAAGGGAGAAAAAAAAAGGGGGGAGGGGAACGAGGAGGACATGGAGGATGCGGAGGACGAGGAGCAGGATAGATCATGGAAGCGAGGAGGAGGACGAGAGGGAGGAGGACGACTGGGAACGGGCAGGAGTGAGGAATGCTGAAAAGAAGCGGCATACGCCAAGCGATCGGCGAAAATAAAGCCGCATACACATATACACTTTCGGAAGCCCCCTCGGATCTTTCGCGTCGGCACCGGGCCCCGATCCGGACGGGCACCGCCCGTCGCGCGCCAGGCCCAGCACGGGAGCGGTCCAGCGCCGACTCGAGATCTCCGCGCGAGCCTCCGAAAATTCATGCATGTTGTTTCCTTTCTCGCAGACGGCGCAGTGAGTTTTTGGACCTGATGTGCAAAAATACACAAAGTGAGCCGAGGTGATGGGCCTCGCACAAACGTAGGTGAGGCAAACGCGCCCCTTCTCTTTACGACGCTGCATGTTCAAACTCATAGGAAGGGTTATACCAGTGGAGCCAATAGTATACACTCGAGATCGTAAAATAACCACGTGCTACGACATCTGAATTTCGGCGCTCCAGCGCCCCCGCCGAGCTCTTAGAGGGCCGCCCCCGGGGCCGCACATCGGCGCCTGTCCTGCCCTGTCCAGACAGCGCAGCTCGCTCTTCAAACGAGTTTGTCGATGAATCTCTGGCATTACCCCACGGGCGCCCCCGCCAACTAACGAAACTTCACACTATAACGAGAAACGCCAAACTCATCCAATGCCAAACTCATCTGGTGCCAAACTCATCCGGTGCCAAACTCATCCGGTGCCAAACTCATCCAGTATCAAACTCATCGGGTGCCGAACTCATCCGGTGCCAAACTCATCCTGTGCCAAATTCATCCGGTGCCAAACTCATCTGGTGACACCGGGTGAGTTTGGCTGGTACCCTTAATTTCGCACCAGACTGGTGCGAAAATAATCCGACTCATCGGTAATCATACATCCGACTCCAACATTATTTGATGCCTGGCCCTGGAGCCGGGCCCGGCCGAATCCATGAGCCTGGGCAAAGGCCGGAGCGAGGCGCAGCTCCTGGCGTCTGGAGCCGGCGTCGCGCTCCTGCTGCGCCGAGAGCTCGTGCTGGAGCTCCCTGGGCCCCTCGCCTCCTCCCTCCCTTCCTCCCTTCCTCCCTCTTCCCTCGCCCCTCGTCCACTTCGTCCTCCCCCTCCCCCCTTCCCCCTCTCTCGCCCCTCGTCCTGTTTGTCCTCCCCCTCCCACCTCCCTCCCCTCTCGCACCTCGTCCACTCGTCCTCCCCTTCCCCCCTTCCTCCTCTATCGCCCCTCGTCCATTTTGTCCTCCCCTTCCCACCTGCCTCCCCCCTCGCCTCTCGCCCATTTCGTCCTACCCCTCTTTTTCCTCCTTTTCCTCTTCTTTTTCCTCCACCTTTTCCTCCTCCTTTCCCTCCTCCTCCTCCTTCTCCTCTCCTCCTCCTCCTCCTCCTCGCCGTCCCCCTCCCCTTCCCCTCCCCTCTTCCTCCCCTCCCCCCTCCCCCTCCCCCTCCTCCTCCTCCTCCTCCTTCTCCTCCTCCTCCTTCTCCTCATCCTCCTTCTCCTCCTCCTCCTCCTCCTTCTCCTCATCCTCCTTCTCCTCCTCCTTCGCGTCCTTTTCACCACGTGTGATCCTGAAGCTTTGAATTCGCAATCGTTACCAGGATGGAGGGCGGGTCGTTTCCAAAATGTGGCTCTCGTCATCTCGCCGCCCAAACAAGGCTTCAGGAACGCAACAACTTCAATGATAGAGGGCGGCCCGTGATTCAGATAAGGCTCTCGCCTCAGCGCCTTTCGCATGCATCCGTCATTTTCAAACATGGACAGTGGGCAAGTTGGGGGAAAATGCTCACGCATCGCGCCGCGCACCGGCGTCACATTATTCTGCGACGTATCCAACCCATCGGTACCCACCTAGGGCTAATCTAAAGGTGTGCCGACAATTCGCCGGCCCAACGGGCCAAAGGCGTGCTAAGATCTCCGGTGACTGCTTTACAATATTCTTCTTCGCGCGCGCGGGGCGGCCCCTGGGGGTCTCCCCACGAAAAGTACCCCGGCAGGGTCCCGGGAGACTCCCGGGAGGGTCCCGGGAGGTTCCCGTCAGAGATGTTCTCCCTCCTGGGTGCCGCCCTCGAGGTCCTCCAGAGAGCCTCCAGACGCCCCAAAACGCCCCCAAGATGCTACAAGAGGGCTCCGAGATGCCACAAGATCGCTCCAAGACGCTCCATATGGCCCCCAAACGCCCCAGGAGGCCTCCAAGAGCACTCCCAAGAGGGCCCCAATAGGCAAAATTCATTGCTTTTCCTTAGGTTTTGGTGAGATTTTGGTATTCCCACCCTTTCCGCTTTCCAACGCCCGACGACGGCCCAAGAGGCCCCCAAGACCGCTTCAAGAGTGCCCAAGAGCTCCCCACAAGGGCCTTACGACGAGCCAAGATGGCCCCAAAACGGCCCCAGATGGCCCCAAGACGGCCCAAGAGGGCCCCAAGAACGCCCCAAGAGCGGCCCCAGGGGGGGAACACGACACAACATGTCCAGCCCTCGGCCCTAAGAAGCCCCTAGGAGGACCCCAGAGGCCCCTGAGAGGCCCCAAGAGGCCCCAAGAGGCCCCCACGAGGCCCTCAGGAGGCCCCCAAGAGTCCCCCAAGCGGCCCCAGGAGGCCCCCCAAATGCCCCCCCGAGCGCCCCAGGAGTCCCCCAAGCGGCCCCAGGAACCCCCAAAGCGCCGCATTGACACCAAGCCCTCGGGCAAACGGCAGACATGAGACTGTATGGGCCGGCGGAATGAGCGAAGCGATTAAATAATGTGACTGCGACGCTGCAAGAGACGGCGCACGGCGGACATCTATGTCGCGCGTTGTGTGCGTGGCCGACTCGCACAACAGAGGTAGTAAGGCCAGGAGGCATTGTACTGGGAAGAATAAGCAAAAGGAAGACATCGGGGTTGAAACACAATAACCTCGGCAGAAGCAGCGAGATGATGGCAAGTTTTTATTGGGGAATCTGGGTGGGGCCCCACTGTGCTGGCCTCCACAGCAGCCCTCGCAAATTGCGACAACTTCACACTTCGCACCCCCCCCAGGGATGGCGAGGTCCCCTTTTGATCTGCGTGGGGCCCCACTGTGTTAGCCCCCCAGCAGCCCTCGAAAATGATAACACTTTCACACTCCGCAGCCCCCCAGGGATGACGAGGTACCGTTTGGGGTTGCGGGTGACCCATTGCGTTGGCTCTTGTTTTTTGCAATGACGCTTTTCTCATCGAGTCGCCTGGCTCCCCATTGCGCTGGCTTCCCATTGCGATGACTCCTTTAGCCAACCTCGAAAGCGACAAAATTTTCACACTTCGCAGCCCACAGGGATGGCGAGATATGGCGAGGTCCCGGTTGGGTCTGCGTGGGGCTCCACTATGCTGGTCCCCCCAGCAGCCCTCGGAATTGGTGACAGTTTCACACTTCACTTCGCAGCCCCCCCCCCCCCCCAGGGATGGCGAGGTACGTTTGGATCTGCGTGGGCCCCACAGTGCTGGCTCCCCCAGCAGCCCTCGAAAATGGCGAGAAGTTCACACTTCGCAGCCGCCCAGGGCTGGCGAGGCCCGTTTGAATCTGCGTGGTACCCCACTGTGCTGGCCCCCCCCAACAGCCTCTCTTGATAATGGCGACCGTTTCACATTTCGCAGCCCCCCAAGGATGGCGGGCGGGGTCCCGTTAGTGTCTGCGTGGGACCCTACTGTGCTGGCTCCCCCAGCCGCCCTCGAAAGTGGCGGCTGTTTCACACTTCGCAACCGCAGCCCACCCCAGGGATGGCGAGATACCGTTTGGGTCTGCGTGAGGCCCCACTGTGCTGGCCCCCCCAGCAGCCCTCGAAGGTGGTGACAGCGTCATATAACGCCCCCCCCCCCCAAGGAACACGAGGTACCGTTTAGGGGGTGGGTTTGCGTGGGGCCCCACTGTGCTGCCCCCCAAGCATCCCACGAAATTGGTGACAGTTTCACACTTCACCCCCCCCCCCCAGGGATGGCAAGGGCCCGTTTGGGTCTGCGTGGGGCCCCACTGTACTGCCCTCCAGCAACCCTCGGAACTGGTGACAGTTTCACACTTCGCACCCCCCCAAGGGATGGCGGGGGCCCGTTTGGGTCTGCGTGGGGCCCCACTGTGCTGGCCCCCCCCCCAGCAACCCTCGAGAGTGGCGACCGTTTCACACTTCGCAGCGCCCCAAAGATGGCGAGGTACTGTTTGGGTCTGCGCGGGGCCCCACTGTGCTGCCCCCCCCCACACACACAAAAACCTTCGAACATGAAAACAATCTGACACTTTGCAGCCCCCCCAGGGCTGGCGAGGTCCCGTCTGGGTTTGCGTGGGGCCCCACTGCGTTGGCCCACCCCGCCTCCTTCGAAAGTGGCGACAATTTCACACTTCGTAGCCCCCAAGAGGGATGCGAGAGGAGAGAGAACCCAACCAAGGGAGGGTCGGGAAACAAATCCTGCAAAAAATTTAAGAGGTCGCAGAGCCGACGTCTCAGGAACGGCGTTCTGGCACGACTTGGGATTGCCAGGGCGCAACAGTCCGTTCATTCGCGGCGTTGAAGCCACAGGAATGCGGAGACATCCTTCGGGGGTGAATCTCGAACAAAATATGATTGGGTATGTTAGCCGGTTAGGCTTTGACGTGTTATCATCTTGATCAGAGCTAATTCGTCCCCCCGCAAAGAAATGCAAGTTACAGGCGGGCGGTTTACATGGAGCGGTCTCTCGCTGAACTTGCAAAAAGGGGAGCCGCCTATCAATTTTAAAATGCGCACGCGCGGGGTGAGGTCTCTGAGCTCAGGAAGCATTCAGCAAGAACCACAAAGGGGACCAAACGTTACGACCCCTCTCTTTTCACCCAAGCCCTCCGCGATAGCTTCAAGAGGCCCTCCAGATTTCCCAACAGGCCCCCAAGAGCCCCTAGAGGGCCCCAGGAGGGCCCGAAGAGTGCACCAATACCCACCAAAATAGCCCCAAGCGGACCCCACGATCCCCAAAGAGGGCTCCAAGAGGCAATTGTGGCGAGTCTGTCCTTGTCCTCGTTGTCCTCCTCCTCCTCCTCCTCCTCCTCCTCCTCCTCCTCCTCCGCCTCGATCTCGTCCATGTCCTCATCGTCTTCCTTTTCCTTTCCCTCCTATTCATTGTCGTCGTGGTCCTGGTCGTCGTCGTCGTCGGTTGCCAGTTGCCAGCATTGCGGGCCTGTCCTCGCGCGCCGAGGGCCCGTCCGCCAGCGTGCTCCGGAACAGCGTTTCTGGAGCACGTTGGACCGCCGCGGCCGCTAGAAGAGCGGCACGGCGCCAGCCGCGCAGGCAGCCCGCTCGCGCAAATAGGCGAGCTCGCCCGTCGGCCAGCTGAGCAGCCCCTGTGGCCGCTGCTGCTTGAAGAATTGTCGAACGGCCTTGCGTCCGGTGCTTGTGGCTGGAAGGCAGGGTCCCGCAAGTTTTTTACTCCTGGACCCGCTCCAGCCCCCACGCTTCAAGCACAGGGTGATTCCTCGAAACACACGCACATGTGGCTTGTGAGATTCATGAATTGGGACAATACTATAGGTTGGGCAGCACGGCTTATTGACCCACCTAGCTTTTCCGAAAACTCCTACTTTCGCGCAGCGAGTGCATTGAATCCTATCGCCATGCCTCTTCTCGAAGTCTCCTCGCGTGGGCTTCCTTGAGGACCTCGAGATCCGACAGCTTGCAACCCTCTCTCCAGGTAAGGTCTTGGATACAGGCAAGGCGTTTCATTATTAGGCTCATTTCGTCATCCTGATTCTGAACATGTTCAGGTATCTCTTCTGGAAGCTCGTAGAAATCCGCAGTTCTGACAGCAACAGCGTCAACTCCCCGATTCACAACATAGTACACTGGATAGATTGTGCCCGAGACCAAATCTTCTTCAGTGCCGTGCGACTTTACCTTATGCATGGTGAAGGGGTGCTGCCGCTTGTCCACGGCTTCCCACAAAAGCTCCCATATATCATTATTCAATTTGTGTTTGCGGTGGCGCCCACGATGGAAGCCTTTGAACACGTACTGGCTATCCGTGATGATGTGCACAGGACCACGCAGTCGACGAGCATAGACTGCAGCGAGCAACTCCCCCTATTGATTGTTTGTTTCCCTGGGACTGGGCCGAACAGGGGAGCCCTCGGGCCAGATATCTTCATTTGATATGACCAGACCCCATGTAATTCTCCTCAGCCTTGGGTTCATGTTGAACCTCCCTCCAGAAACCTCCGTGCCCACTAACCTCCAGTACGAAAACTGGAACGGCGCCCTCAAGACCCCCGTGTCCTGGACCTCCAAGCACCCGTGAAAATTGGCCGCAACATCAATGGTGTGCTCCTGCGGCTGGAGCCCTCGCAACCACTTGATGCTGTTGGACCGGCTCTCGTCAACAGCTCGCTGGACAAGATGCTGGGATTCCTGGATGGCTGGATACTGCGCCCCCAGAGCTTCTAGCCGCGGGCAAGTCCAGTAGCAATACAGGGCAGACTCCTTCTCCTCCCCACACCTCCAACACTTGAAAGTATCATCCCCCTTTCATGGCGGCCAAGAATCTCCTCTCTCCATGCCAAACAGAACCTTTAGCAACGGCACGAGCAGCAGGGATGAGGTGGGCATCCTAAGCTTCGCCTCGTTTCCATGACCTAAGAATTTCGTGGTGGCGGAACGCATCGATGCCACACTTGGCACCCAAACCACAATAATACTCGGCAGCCTGGGTCCAATACCTCTTATGAGCGCACTTAGCGAACTCTTCTAAGAAAGCATCCTGGTCATTGTTGGGCCCAGGTCGAATCTTAAAAAACCTCCTGTCGGGACTCGTCCACATCCAGGCTGTGCAGGCGGTCCAACCGGAATCTAGGAGCATCGCGACCACAGCTGAGAAGAGGGAGACCACCTTATTCCACCTCCCCTGCTTCTTGCTAAGCTTGTCCCAGACGGTCTTCCAGGCCCTGGAAACCCCATTGTGCAAGGACACCTCCAAATTGAGAGTCTCAAACCACATCCGAAAACAGCCCAGGGGAATATCAAACCAGGATCTGTGCCCAAGGCGCCCTTCGGGGAGAGAGCGAAAGCTGTCGTCGTACAGCCTGACTTCTTGGCCAATCCCAGGCCTCGACATAGTTTGCCTCGAAGCAGACGTAGCTGTGTCGGAGCGACTCCATGGGCCTGATAACCCCAGAGCAACTGAGGCTTGGCACCTGTAGTGACTAAAACTCGCACTCGACGCCGGCCTCGAGCAAGCTTACTGATGTTGGCAAGACGTTTGAATCCTTTCCTCATTCGGGCCTTTCCGAACCTCAAGACGTCTAATTTTCCCAAGAGTGGCATCACACCCAAGATCCCGGCCATCTTGTCGCACCTGAACCTGGATCCCTTGGTCTTGCAGCCCCGAGGCCACGTCCGAGGCGAGCTGCCCAGAAGATGCCATGATACAGCTTTTTGGGGAAAGCCTACAGCCTGCCTTGCCAAGGGCCGTCGCGAGATACGATATCGCTGCTGGAAACTGCTCTCTGATGGCCTTCTCGGAGGCCCACATGCGCACCCAGAGGTCATCCACCCAGGTGCGGAACGGCATGTGCTTACACTTGTGGTGGAAGTCATGCAGGATACTGTGTAGAAAAGCTCGCGCAAGTGAACAGTTCTGTCCACAGCCCTGCAGAATAGAGTTTTCTGGGATCCCAAACTTAGAACATCCCAAATCTGAAGTCAAGGCCCTCGCAGCTTTGTGGACCACCAGGGCCAGGGCGAGGGGCGGTTTGGGATAATCAAGTTTTATGGCCGTCTTGGCACACACTTCAACACACATCGTATCGAAAAACTTCTCGACATCCAGGAGGGCCTCGGTCACCGGGATCCCCCCAGTGTTCGCGATTTCAGCCGCCATTTCAGACAGGATAGCGGCCCGGAGGGGCTCATTTCCACGTATGGCTTGGTCCCAGAAGCCCGCCTTCGCAGTGTCCCAATCGGACAGCTCAAACCTGAACATCTTGCAAATAACACGGTACAGCCCACACGTCAAGGTGAGCGGTCTGTCGCATTCGGCATTCTTGGGCTGCAGGAGAGGAAACTGGACCTGCGCAGCAATCGAGTTGAGGAGCGTGGCAAACAGTAGCCGCCCCTCGGGCGGAAAAAGGAGGAAATCCCTCACACTCCAGCTGTCTCCCCCTGGCGCTGCAGAGGGGGAGTACAGAGATACAACTTCGAAAATCTCCTTGTCATCCCATGGATCATAATCCCACTCCCAAGACTGCCTGGCTTGGTGTATGATGGTGGCCTCCTCCTCCTCCTCCTCCTGCTTCGTCGTCGTCGTCGTCTTCCTCCTCCTCCTCCTCCTCCTCCTCCTCCTCCTCCTCCTCCTCCTCCTCCTCCTTCCCTCGCCCCCAAGCGGGGCCCAGGAATGGCCCAAAGAGGCCCTCCAAGGCCACCCCTTTGCTTCAAGAAATCTCTCTGTTCATCCTGGTTGCCCGTTTCGCCTCGCAGCCCGCCAACACAAAATTGGGGGCGCAGGGGGCGTTCACGCAAACCAGAACAAAAAGGTGCAGGAGTTTGCCCATTTGCCTAGAAGCCTCCCACATGGGGTCCGAGGATGGGTTCGGAGGATGGCGCCGCATCGCCGATGCATTGGCGATGGATCAGCGATGCATCGGTGACGTTGGCGATGCATCGGTGACGTCGGCGTCAAGAAAGTCGGGCTCCACATCAAGCCGCTTCGCCGATGCATCGCTGATGCGGCGCGATCCTCCGACCCAATATACTCGGGCCCAATCTGACGGGCCGAACATGACAAGTGCAAGACGTTGTCCATCCACCGCACCACTCCCGGGGAAGACGAAAAGGTGCCGACACCGCCACTGCCCGCACCTCCCCCCGGCATCTCGGGACGAGGCCGGCCGTGGCGACGAGGGTCCCCCAGGAGGCCCACGAAGGCGAAGACGAGGGACGGGTGGCGGTATCGGTACCTCTCTCCTCCTCCTCCTCCTCCTCCTCCTCCTCCTCCTCCTCCTCCTCCTCCTCTTCCTGCTCCTCCTCTTCCTCCTCCTGCTCCTCCTCCTCTTCCTCCTCCTCCTCTGAGCCCACGCGCCTGAGCTCGATCTTGTACTGCTCCGACTCGCGCGCGAGCCTGGGCGCGGGGCCCCGACAGCGGCGAGAAAGGCCACCTCGGGCCTCCCCATCCAGAGGAGGCAGGCAGGTCGGTGCCCCCGCCCCGCCCTTCCGAGGTCCAACGGCGGGAGGGGATTTTTTGTTCAGTCCACGAAAAAATGCAGCGATGCTGAGAATCGGCAGCTTCCCCATTGAGGGAAAGGGGAACTCCATTTCGGAATTGGAAGAGGTCTTCACGGCGGCGCGTTGGGTTGGTGGCGTGCAGTGGTGTGGTACTGAGGGTTATGTTGACGACGGAGGCTTTGGAAAAAGACGTGGAGTATAACGTGATGTTGTGATTACACGCTGGCAGGGTGCTGTGGAGTACGGGGTGGAATTGGGGACGAAGGCTAGGGGTTTACTGGATGCTACGTTGGAGACGGTGGCTGTGGAGTCGAATGTTGCCTGAAACTTGCATTTCAGAGCGGAGTGGAGTACAGGGACGCGTGTTTGCTTGGTTTACGGTGGAAATGTTCAGAGCAATAGTGCGTGTGTGTGCTCAGTTTCCGCCCTCGGAGACCTGCACGTACCGATCACAACACACAGATGCACATACAGTTGTGCTTAGGAGGCTGCCAACTGCGCAACAGTCGCCACTTTCATAGCCAATCCAGAGGAGAGATGTCCTTCGCGATCCACATGCGACATCGCCCCCATGGGGGCTGCGCAACTGTCGCCACGCTCGGGGGCACCTGGGAGGTCCAGAGGAGTGGTGTCCTGCGCCGACCCTGACATCGTCCCCTCTGGATGCTGCTAACGCGCAACTGCAGCCAATGTGGTGGGCCCCTGGGTGCTCCAGCGGAATGGTCTCTAACGCAGACCTGGATGAGACCTCGCCCACGCTGGGCCTGCCAACTGCGCACATATCTGTACTTCCGTGGCCCGAATGAGAGCTCGCCTTGTGCTCCCAACGGCGCTACTCTCGCCGATTTCGTTGGTCCCTGCATGGCCCAACGGAGTGGAGTGTAGTCTGAAGCAGACCAGAATGAGACCTCGCCCCCATGGGGGGGGGGCCAGCGGAGCGGTGCCTTACGCAGACGCAGGTGGGGCCTCGCCTCTCTGGGCCTGCCAGCGGCGCAACTGTCGCCAGTTTAGTGTGCTCCAGGGGGGCCCAGCGGGGTGGTGTCTTGCGCTAACCCGGATGGAAGAGCGCCTACCTGTGGGATGCCAGTCGTGCAACTGTCGCCATTTTCGGGTGCTCTTTGCAGGCCCAGCAAAGCGGTGCAGACGCATACCCAACGGAAACCTCTCCCTTCCTGGGAGCTGCCAATTGTGAACTCGTCGCGTTTGACATTCCTCCCATGCCCCCGTCCTTCCATCTCGTCCTTGATCGTATCCCCTCCTGCCTCTCCCTCCTCGCCCTGCATGCCCACCCCTCTCTCTCACGCATGTGTCATCGTTTCCTTATTCGCCCGCATGATTTCCCCAGACTGCCTTGACTTAATTAATTTTCCTCACCATCGTCATCCCTCCGTGTGTCCCTCATGCAACATCTTCCGGCTCGGCTCAACTCAAAATCATCAAGCGTGCAGCGGACATGCCCGTAGCTTGGTGTCATAATAGGTAACCTGCCTCGACATACCATCATCCGCTTTCACAGGGTCATTGCGATCCCTTGTTCTCGGAGAGTGCCAACCATACACCTGCGCCGATCCTGGCCAGGCCCATGTTGCGCACCAGATCGGTGTATACGACGTCCTGGTTTGGCGAGGAGGGCATATGCACCACTCGTCGTCCAAGTACTGGACTGGCCATGGTCAGGAAAGAATTAGAGCTGACCCACCGAATCTTGCAAATGGGGTCATGAAAGCGCAAACAAACTGATGTTGTACCGAGTTGTAAACGGGGGAAAACGCCCTGCGCGCTTCTAGCGCCAACCGAACGTGTTGGAGACGGCGGCTGCGCAGTTGGACCGTGTGTTGGAGTCGAGGATGTGGAATAGAAAAAGGCTTTCAGCGTACAACTTGCATCCGATCAAAAGATTTGGTATCCGAAACACGCAGACTTGGCATCCGAAACACGCAAGACTCGACCGTGACTTCGCACATCGGATTGACAACCAACGGGTCGGTTGGGGGAGACAGGCAGGTCGGGCGGGCGGACTCTACGGGCGGTTCAAGCGCGCAGCTGGGTTGTCAAACAAGCGAGCGGGCAGACCCTCACGGGCGTGACGAGCGGGCGGGCCCTTACAGGTGAATCCGGTGAGCGGGACATTGAAACCGACGGACGGGCCGTCAAGCAAACGAGAGGGCACAGCCTTAATGAGAGGGTCGGACGGGCAGACCCTGACGGGCGGGTCGGGCGCGCGGGCCCGAATGATAGTGGCGGGCCACGGACCTTAATGAGCGTGTTGGGCGGTCGGTACGTTCAAACGTGCGGATGTGCTTTCAAGCAAGCGAGGGGACGGACCCCAGCGGGCGGGTCGGACAGGCTGAATCAGCGGCTGAATCGGAGGATGTGCTCACTTCAGATCACTTGCGTTAGGACGTGTCTCTCCTATCTTCAGCGTTCGGTACTTGAGCTGTTCGGTGGGCAGAGTAGTCAACGCCCTTCAAACGTGGCTCGCACCGAAGGCTTAGGGTGGGCCTTCAATGTGAAGAGAACTAGGGCTGTGTCGATTTCGGAAATGGTGGGGCAACGCGTGAACCTCTGGATGTCAGGGTTGCTGGACACGGTGTCAAACAAGCCCTGCTCAATGCCCCGCTTCTGATCCTCGGCTGCGTCCCGGGCCTGGCGCGGCATAGAACGGCACGCGCACGCACATGCGTAACCACGCATACATCTGTACACATACAAGTAATGTCTACAAACATGTAATTCCCTTGCTCTATATCTATCTCTATACTTTTATATATATATATATATATACATAGATCATCTGGGACACTGACCCCCTGCCCGCCTGAAACGGGACCGGCGCCCAGGGCCCCTGGACGCCCCCATCAGCGGGACCCCCGATACTCCCAAACCTCTGGAAGTCCGTGCCAAGCCGTGCAAACGGGTCCGCGGCGGTCCCAAGAGAGGCCCACAACGGGCTAACATGGTCCCCAGCGGCCCGGACGCCCGCCAGACGCATGATTTCCGGGCGTCCAGAGGAAAGCCCGGAAAGCACCGAACGATGCTCCCAGACGACCACCAAAAAGCTTCCTGACACCCCAAGAGAGCCCCAAGACGGCCTAATTAAGAAGATTCAGAAACTGCCCACAAGGGGCACCATGACGGGCCGTAATTGCCCCAAGACGCCATCCAGAGGATTCAAACTGTAACCCGAGACCACGGTTCGCGGCATGGTGGCCCGAGAACCCACCCGGAGGCCGCCGAAAGGCGCCAGGGACGTCTCCAGAGGCGCGCAAGGAACCCCTACCTAAAAAACTGTCGCGATGTCCTCCAGAAACTCGCCTTGGCGGAGCTTCCGCAAACACATCTGAAGAGGACGGGGAAGGGTTCGCGGGGCAATAAAGGCGAGAACGAAGAAGTGGAAGAGGAAGAGAACACATGATGGGAAGGAGCAGGAACAACAATATGAAAACCCTGGAGGCGAAAACTGTATCCATGAACGATCGCTGGTTTGATTGATCTACCGCTCTCATACTGCCTGTGCCTGCATGGTAGATGTAACGGACCAAAGTGCATGGCGTGAAGCACCAATGCAGTCCTGTACGTGTAGTTACGTAGCACCCCGCAATTGCGGATAAGAGTGAGGGGGCGGCGAGGACGTCGTCAGTCTGCGAGGCTCTGAAGAAGCCCGCCGCAGGCGCCGACACTTTCGTCAAACCAATGTTGGTGGATCGCGAGGTGGGTCGCGGGTGGGTCGCGGGTGGTCGCGGGTGGGTCGCGGGTGGGTCGCGGGGTGGGTCGCGAGCGGGCCGCGGGTGGGTCGCGGGGTGGGTCGCGGGGTGGGTCGCGGGGTGGGTCACAGGGTGGGTCGCGGAGTGGGTCGCGGGTGGGTTGCGGGCAGGGTCGCGGGGTGGGTCGCGGGCGGGGTCGCGAGGTGGGTCGCGGGTGGGTCGCGGGCGGATCGCGGGGTGGGTCGCGGGTAGTCGCGGGTGGGTCGCGGGGTGGGTCGCGGGGTGGGTCGCGGGGTTGGTCGCGGGGTGGGTCGCGGGCGGGTCGCAGGGGGGACGACGACAACAACAACAACAACAACAACAACAACAACAACAACAACAACAATCATTTTACCCGAACGCTCAGTGTTCTCACCAGTGCCAGGGTTTTCATGCGACGCCAGCCAATACCCCCACTTTGTGGGGGGGCAGTGCAAACTCTACCAAATATCCACACGACTCTTCGCCACCACCCACACCCAGCTTCCCGCCCTATGACGTTCGGACACTTCACTTCGTGGCCTGCGGACGACCGTGGCTACTACACTGGCGTGGAGTACACACCCACAGAAGTTGTTAAGCCTACGTTCGTACACCCACAGAAGTTGTTAAGCCTTGTTAACCCACAGAAGTTGTTAAGCCTTCCACAGAACATCTGTTGCATATGATGCATATGGTACATGATACACATGATACACACGATACGTACTCACAAGATAGTTGATCACATCTGGTTTTTTGAGATTTCGGCGTGCGCGCGCGAAGAAAAAACGAATCTGTCCCGCATGGTATTATTTGACAGGGATGATGGCCCTGGCAGGTGCGCAACCGTTGTCGCAGAAGTTCGAAAAAGTTGCTCGCAAAAGCCCGTTTGACAGAAATGTTTAAAAAGTGTTGGTTTTCCTACGAATCCGCAAGAGCGCGCGGGATGAGATTTTGACATTTTTTTGTTGAAAAACCATTGGTTTTTTGATGTTTTTATGTTAAAATCGCTCCGAACACTAAGCTTTTGGAAGGATTTCGTCTTGCGCGCGCGAATGTCCACTTTACCTTATTTTTTGCAAGGGATTCTTGAAATTTGATTATATTTGAACAAGAAATTTCATTTTATAGTGTTTTTTGCAAGGGACAGCGGGGGGGAACAAAACAACCGGATCTGGATGACATCGTTTTACCTGAGGCTTCCTCACGAAAATGATGAAAATGTAGCTGCGGCCTAGGCGCGGCGGGGGGGGCGTGCACCAGGGGGCCCAACAATAATTATTCTTTAGAATTAATAATGTTCAACAACAACAACAACAACAACCAAAACATCACCGCAACAACCACAACAGATATTCAACATCAGCAACAACCGACGCTCGAACGGGAGCCTCGTTTTCAGAGAAGACGGCGTCGAGGCGAGAGCGCGCGGAACCGTTTCCGGATATCAACAATACTGATTATTTAAGAATGCGTATTCAAGAACAGCAACAACAGCACCACCTTCAACAACAACAATAATCATTTTAAGACTGTTCGCCCTTATCTGCTCGAGTGTTCAACAACTCGTATTTCCCAAACCCTCGATACCCGCCCTCTTCGTCTTCGATCGAACCCCTTTGGGGGTATACCTTTCTTCCCTGCACGCCGGGCCCCGGCAAGCGGCGGGGCGGCCGCGGACCGTCGGCCTGGCCAGCGGCAGCGCTGATCGGCGGAGCGGCCGCGGACCGTCGACCCGACCCCAAGAGGGACGGACAGGGGACCGACAACGACGACGACGACGTCGACGTCGACGGCGAAGACGACGACGACGACGGCGACGACGACGACGAGCGAAAGCGAGAGCGAGAGAGAATGACAGCAGGGCCACGAAAGACACGAAGTAGGCCACGAAGGGCCACAGCGGGGACACGGAGGGAATGCGTATGGGGCCACGAAGAGCGCGAGCGAGCGGGGGCCACGAAGGGCAGATAATGCGGGGCCACAAAAGGCAGCAATAGGGCCACTGAGGGTAGCAATTGGGCCACGTAGGACAATGAGGGGGCCACAAACGGCGACAACGGGGCCACGAAGGGCATGCACATGGGGCCATAACGGGCGCGAGCGAGCGGGGGCCACGAGGGGCATACGTATGTTGGGCCGCGGAGGGCAAGGACGGGGCCACTGAGGGCAGCAACGGGGCCGCGAAGGGCAGCGAGGGGGCCACGAAGGGCGACAGCGGGGCCACGAAGGGCATGCTTATGGGGCCACCACGGGCGCGAACGAGTGGGGGCCACGAAGGGCATACATATATGGGGCCACGAAGGGCGCCGAGGGGGCCACGAAGGGACGCGAGGGACAGGGCCACGAAGGGAAACGAGGGGTCCACGAAGGGCTGCAACGGGGCTACGCAGGGCTGCAACGGGGCCACGCAGGGCAGTCAGGGGGCACCGAAGGGCTGCAACGGGGCCACGAAAAAAAGCGAGGGGGCCACGAAGGGCTGCAACGGGGCCACGAAGGGCAGCGAGGAGGCCACGAGGGGCTGCAACGGGGCCAAAAAACAAAGCGAGGGGGCCACGAAGGGCCGCACCGGGGCCACGAAACAAAGCGAGGGGGCCACGAAGGGCCGCAACGGGGCCACGAAGGGCAGCGAGATCCTGATTCCTAGGTAATTCTGCGAGGGAGTCCCAAGCGTGAGCGGGACTCCTGGGTGCCTGGGTGTCGGGGGCGCGGCGCTTGAATAAATTTCAAGAAATTCCAACGCAAGGGCGCTATTTGTCAATACATTGCAAGCGAGTCTCCAGCGAGAGCGCGACTCCAGAGCGCCGGGAGAGCGATTCCTGAATAATTTGTAGAGGAAGTCCCAAGTGAGAGCGCGATTCCTGAATCAAATGCGAGGAAGTCTCGGGCGGGAGCGGGGGTCCTGGCAAAATTGCGAGGAAGTCTCAGGCGGGAGCCGTTGTTGTTGTACCCCGGGACCAAGGGCACAGTTTGAGCATCAAGACTTTCACTGTCAAAAACAAGGTGCGAGCGTCGGGGGGCACGCTTTGATTGAGAAAAAACAGTATGCACCCGTGGGGGGATCAACAATACTTATTCTTCAGAAATGAAAATTCAACAACAACGCAACAAACGCAATCCTCGGTTACCACGGATCCCAATTTCAGTCACGCACCCATGGACAATGAATGACCGGTCAGCCCCCTCACTCTGATCGGAGGTAGGGGGTGAGATCGCAGTGGACCGGAGACCCCCCCCAGGAAAATCATTTCGTTTCGTTCGTGTCTCGCGTGCGGGCGAGGCGAAGCTGCGTGGGCGCGCGAGAAGAATGAACCCGCCGTTGCTAGGGCGAAGTCAAGACAAATGATTATCCCCCTCCCGCCCGTCCGGCGGTGGCCCGCGGTGTCCCGCGGTGTCCCGTGGTGTCAGCCGTTGCTAAGGCGAAACAAAGACAAATGATTCTCCCCCGCCCGCCCGTCCGTCCGTCGGTCCGGCGGTGGCTCGCGGTGGCTCGCGGTGTCCCGCGGTGTCCCGTGGTGTCCCGTGATGTCCCGTTGAGCGAGATTAATAGTGAAATCCATAGTGAGATCGATACTGAGATCGATGTGGTGCCCCGAAGTGTCCCGTGGTGTTCCGTTGAGTGAGATCGATAGTGAAATCGATGGTGAGATCGACAGGTGTCCTATGGTGTCCCGTTGAGTGAGATCAATAATGAGATCGATAGTGAGATCGATGTGGTGTCCCGTGGTGGCCCGTGGTGTCCAAATGCATCCCGTTGAGTGAGATCGATAGTGAGATCGATAGTGAGACCGATCGTGAGACCGAGAGGTGCCCCGCGTTGTCCCGTGGTGTCCCGTGGTGACCCGTTGAGTGAGATCGATAGTGAGATCGACAGTGCGATCTACAAAAGTCCCGTGGTGTCCCGTAGTGTCCCGTTGAGTG